CCCTGGACAAAAGTATCTGGACACCTATTTTTACTAATTATACAAAAACGCACATAATAACTACACATAAAATTTTACCAAAATGTAGTTTAGGTTTTGATGAATATGCATGTAAATTTTGATACTCTTAAAACGTCTAGAAAAATTTTAATTAAAATAATCCAAAAATTGATGAAAATTGCGATATCATTTTTTGTTTCTCGAATTTACTCAAAATCCTACATAATAATAAAAATAAAAATTTATATCGATTTGTAGCTTAGATTAACTAGAATACGAATACAAAATTTTGTAGTTTTGGCTAGCATAGATAATTAATAATAAAATCGGATTTATAAAATCAAGATTGTCAATTTTTTTAATCTTAAAAACGTAAAAACGAAGAGGAAAATTGTGCCTTCATGGATGTACCTAATTGACCCTCGCAATCCTCAGATATTAATCCAATTGAACATCTTTGGAGTGAACTAGGGAGGCAATTAGATAAGTGAACAAACACAATACAGCATAGATAATTAATAATAAAATCGGATTTATAAAATCAAGATTGTCAATTTTTTTAATCTTAAAAACGTAAAAACGAAGAGGAAAATTGTGCCTTCATGGATGTACCTAATTGACCCTCGCAATCCTCAGATATTAATCCAATTGAACATCTTTGGAGGGAACTAGGGAGGCAATTAGATAAGTGAACACAATACCCAAAAAATGCCAACGAATTGGAAACTGTTTTACAAGAAGTGTAGTCAAGAACTCCATATGAAACTTACTGCAAATTAATAGAAAACATGCCTAGAAGGATTGAGACATGCATTTCTAGCGATGGATGGCCAACTCGGTATTAATATTATTTATATTTTGAACACAAAATATTTTGTTGATCATCATCATTTTCATAGAGTTTTCGGATTTTTTAATTATATAGACGTTTTGAGGTTATCAAAATTTACATGCATATTCACCAAAACCTATGCTTGCATTTTGATAAAATTTTATGTGTAGTTATTATGCGCGTTTTTTGTATGATTAGTAAAAAACAGGTGTCCGGATACTTTTGTCCAGGGAGTGTATATATATAATATCACTTTACAAGCTTCATAGATCTTGCTTTTAACACTTCAATCAACTGCTATATAACTACAAATAACTGATAAAACATTCATCAAGTATAACGATTTGGAAGGACTTTTATTTACATATTTAATAAATAATATTAATAATAAGCACAGATTATACTTGTAAAAACCAAGGTTTGTTTGTTATATTCACTCTCATTAATTCCGATGTATATAAGATCTAGATGATCGCGTAACAATATATTAATAAATAATATTAATAATAAGCACAGATTGTACTTGTAAAAACCAAGATTTGTTTTTTATATACAAGCTAGTAATAGGCTACTTAACTTTTAAACATTTCTATTATAGTGTTGCTATGATAGTTTCATTTCATCAATTAATATTATAATAAATTAATAACCTGTAAATAACTATAAATCAGTCTTTTATAATTAAAGTCAAAATTTTTCAAGTAATTATAAGTGATTTTGTAGGGAACACTTTGGCACAATTGTTGCATACTAGTTGAGCGATAATCTTAAAATAAGTGTGAAGAAAAGAAACACCACCGACCTGGCGTATAATAACCAATATTTAAGCTAGCCTTTTCTTTTAACTGTTGTTAAAAGTTCCAGTCTGACCCTACAAATTTTATTATGGTCGAAAATCGCTTGTTATATGAAAAACGGAGAATTAATAAATTAAGAAATTGGATAACATGCACATTGGCTTAATTTTTTTTACATAATAATGCAATAGTTAAGTTTTAATTTCCAACCTTTAAATGTTTATTTTTTTAAATTACATAATTTGTTATAGAAAAGTATTAAGAACATGTCACCTAGCTAGAAGCTAGGTATTGAAAAAACAAATCAATCAATCAGGTGAATTGGTGGTAGTGAAGAACAAATTAAAAGCTGAACATTTTTAAATAAATCAATTATTCAAAAAGCAAATCCTTAAAAAAAAATGAAAATCAAGAAATCATATTCTCTATTCACGATTCATGAAATAATATTAAAATATCTCTTCTCCTTGTAGTCTTTTAAAGCATCATTACAATCTGTTTTTATATTATGTAAATTTATCAATCAGGAATAAAAAACTTTGGGACACATTTTATTCATTGGATTTTTGTCATCCATATAATTAATGAACTGACTGTTAGTCCTCAATTTTGCTATCTTTTCTTTCCTTTTTTTTACTCGATCACTCGTTGCTCTGTTACTTGTTTGAGAAAAATTTATTTAATTCAAAAAACTAAACATTATAAGCAAAATATTTTTATTAATCAAAGAATAAAATAAATTACTACAAGTATTAATATAACACTGATAACGTCAACCACCATCAGTATCCAATAAAGTCGTTAATATCATTAGCAATATATAAATTGGGGTTTTTGAAATAATATTATACAAGTTCTTTTAAGATTATCCTATTATTTGCGTGCGAATAACGTGAATTTACCTATTATCATAGAAAAAAAATTTTTAACAAAAGTAAATAAAATCATTACTATATTATACTTTTTCTAATTACCTTTAAATACGTAATTGAATAGGCATTATTTCTCTGAACTATCACTTCTTCTAATATTTGATCTATGATTAGTTTTTGGAATAATCTTTCACAAACAATTTTAGAAAGTTTGGGTTCGATCATATTATTGGTGACTTTGATATTTTTTTTTATCATCAATTCTTTAGTTGGTTTAGTATTATCTCCCAAAAATATTTTTTCAAACTGTACTAATGTTAAATTCTTGATTTGATGTGCTGAAACTAACTCGATAATCTTTTTTGCTACATATGAATAATCTGTTTCCACAACTTGATGATTTATAAGCTCTCGACAATTATCGCACGTTTGTTGGCATTCTGCTGGATTGAAGTTTTCTGCAAAATAACCTAACAATTGCTGCCTTCTACAATCGATATTATTTTCACAATACTTCATCATTGAAAATAAATTTAAGAGCTGTTGTTGTTTTTGCATTTCAGTTCCATCTCCGCCGTTTATCATCTTTTTTATCAATATGTATTCTTTAAATGTATAAAATAGAACACATTGAGCAGGTTTACCATCTCTGCCAGCTCTGCCAGTCTCTTGGTAATACCCTTCTAGAGATTGTGGTAGCAAGTAATGAATCACAAACCTTACATTGGGTTTGTCGATTCCTTTATACAATTGGCAAATATATATTAAAAAAAAAATTCAATGTAATTCTTGCAATATATATATATATATATATATATATCATATTAGTAAAATTTTAAAAATCACATATAACTTACCCATTCCGAAGGCAGTGGTCGCAACGACAACCTGCAGCTTGCCAGATTGCCATTCATTTTGCACATTTATTCTATCTGCCTTGTCTAACCCTGAATGGTAATACTTGGCAGAGATTCTTGATTGTTGCAGGTATTTTGCAACGTTTTCACATTTGAGTTTAACTGTGCAATAAATAATACCCGATCCACCTCCATGACTTTGAACGAGTTTTACAAGATTTTCCAACGCCTTATTACTACTATCTTTGGGACAAACTTTATAATAAAGATTCTTTCGGTTAAATCCTTGTTGTAAAACTTTACAATGTTGAATTTCTAAAAGTTTCATGACATCAAGTTTGACTTTAAGAGTTGCAGTTGCAGTTAAAGCGATAATAGGTATATCGTTATATATTTTTTTTAGATTGCACAACTCTTTATAATCTGGTCTAAAATCATGACCCCATTGGCTAACACAATGAGCCTCATCAATAACGAATCTTGCCAATTGTTTTCTATCGTACAACCTTTTTATTGCTGATGCAACTGCAGTACTTCTATTTAACATCTCAGGAGTTAAATAAAAAATTTTGCAACTTGGTTTATATTTTTCAAGTTCAGTAAATACATTTTGTCTTTGATTAGCTTCTTGTTCACCATACAAACATAAGGTTGATATACCACGCCTGTTCAGATTATAAACTTGATCTATAATTAGTGAAAGCAATGGTGAAATTACAATTGTTATCCCTTTTGTTTTTCCAGTTTCCACCATTGCGGGCAACTGGTAACATAAACTCTTCCCTCCGCCAGTTGGCATCAGCACAAAAACATCTTTTCCATTGAGCGTTTCGTTAATGGCTTCCAACTGGTTCCTTCTAAAACTTTCTAATCCAAATATATTATGCAAAACATTTTCGACTTCTGCCGACCATTCATAATTATAAGTGGTTTGCATTGGTGGTGCTGGCGGGGGGAAAAAACAAGATGATGTTGATGTTGACTGTTCTGGTGGTGAATAAAAAGATGACGAAACTGATGGTTCTGGCTCTGGTTGTGAGTAGGACGATGATGATGTTAGTAATGGTGCTGCTGGCGAGGAAAAAAAACAAGAAGACATTGATATGGATGGCTCTGGTAAATAAGGGGATGAAGTTGATGGTATCAGTAATGGTGGTGCTGGTGAGGAAAAAGAACAAGAAAATTTTGATACTGATGGTTTTGATGGTAAATAGGAAGATGATAAAGTTGATGGTTGTAGCGGTGGTGATGATGATGATGATTGATGATTAGCATCAATTTTATCAATTTTTTGAGACAATATTTTCCTAAATAGTTGCCAATATTTTTTAATGTTAATGATAAACAAATGTCTCATGAATTAAAATATATTAATATTTAGCATATTAATTGAATTGAAGATACCTTTCATTTTCCAACTCTAATATCTTTGAGTTTTTTAAATTATTCTTCTCATAAATTAATTTCAATAAATCTCTTGTTATTGAATAATATTCTCTATATGTTGCTAGGATTGTTTTTTCAGGTACGTCTATACTCATTTCCTAATAATAGATTAAATAAATATATTATTAAAAAATTAAAATTGTAAAAACATGTTACTGTGCAAATCCTTTCAATGAAATTATAGATATTATTATCTAATTCTATAATTAAATTCAAATAATCATTTATACTTGAAGAATCAAAAAGATTTTTTTTTTACCGAGGTTGTTGGTATATCATCAAAATCATAATCATAATCATAATCAATGATATTGTTGTTATTTACATTCTTTCCTTTTACATTTCCATTAGCATAATTATTGCCATTATTATAAAGATTATCTCCTTGAATAGAATTAAGTTCATACTCCTTTAAACAAGCATCATCAAGAATGTCAGATATTTTATCTTCTTCTGGATAGTATTTTTTATATGTTGCTAGGGTTGTCTCTTCAGGTACTTCTATACACATTTCCTAATAATAGATTAAATAAATACATAATTATAAAAATTAAGATTGTAAATCACATTACTGTATTTAATGCCAATATCAATTTTATTATTAGTTAATTGTTGTTATTTACATTCTTTCCTTTTACATTTCCATTGGTATAGTTATTGCCATTATTATAAAGATTATCTCCTTGAATAGAATTAAGTTCATACTCCTTCAAACAAGTATCATCAAGAATATCAATTATTTTATCTCTTTCTTGGATAGAAACATATTCATACTTTTTCAAACACTCTTCATCAAAAGGGTTAAAAATGGTGTAAAAATCCGACTCTTTACGAGCTTTCCTTTTTATTTGTTGTTTATAAAACCAATCTGAATGCTCTTCTATGCTTGTTTGGATCATTTTGAAAAACGCGTTTAAAAAAAAATAATAATAATAATGATCGGCATGATCCACTTTTATATATAGGACCGCAACCAATAATATTAATAGGCGACATGCCCTAAATAAATAACTATGGTTGGCTCGGTCTAAAGACCTCCTATTGCTGCGCCACACGCTCAAATTTCAAAAATTGCGATTTCATGATTCG